CATTGAAGACGATGAAAATTTTGGCTTGTATGAGGTTTCATATGCCTGCGTTGTAATTGTGTTTTGGTTTCTGATCTTTATTCTTTTGTTTCGCTTTTCTACAAAATTTCGCTTAATTTGATCCAATAATATAATATTTATTTTCTCCCATATTCCTAAGTATTTTTAAATTTGTTTATAAAATAAATATATTCAAATGAATTTAATGCTTTTCATATGCATTGTAATCCTTTTACTTTCATAGATTACACAGAAAACTTTAGATTGAGCATTTAAACTGAATTGTATCTTAATCTGACACCGACGAGAATATTTTTTACTTGGCTTATTCCTTATACACCTCTATAATTTCCGAAACACTCTCTACATAAAACCAACAAAAGAGACTCAAACCGCTCGGTATCTCTCCTCTTCTCAGTAGCGAAGACTCTTGAGACCTTTCTGCCACCCTGACAGAACCGTGACAGGAAAGCATTTAAGGTACGAGTTTGCTTTGCTGTGAAGCAATTTCTGCGGGGATGCTACCTTAGGTGTCAGCCCAACGGACCCTTACTAAAAGACGAACCACCATCTAGGCACATCAGAAAAGGAGGACGTAAAGAACTGCATTCAGCACCACATACAACAACCACCGGGCAACCTCGACATACCTCACGCTTGGAACGAGTTCCCGCACGACACTAACCACCTCATTTCAAGCCCCCTAGACCGCCTTTCGCTTTGTACCGAACCTATCGACCTTCCGTTATTCTTAATTACTTAGTAATCCCGTATACTTTCAGGCTTTAATTTTGACTGAAATATCTATAAGCAGAACTTTGTTTGCACCAGTGATCATAATTATTATAAGTAATAAAAACAAACTCACAACATAATGATTATTTATGTCATTTTTCAAGGAAATATGGGACTTTATAAACTAAAAGGTTGAGGTTAAGTTTATCAGGCTTGAGCGGAAAAATGTTGATCTAGAAACAATACTTATTCTCCAAGCGATATATTTTGCTCACAAAAATAACTATTATTGTTTGAGTAAAACTTAAAAAATAATTTTATTAACAAATTAAAATTATTATTAAAATTTGGTGAAAACTAGTACTTTTTTTATTTATAATTACAACAGTATCAATTTAACAGAAAATATAATAAAATGAATTGAAATGAAAATAATTAAAAATGAGTCCCTCTGACTGGCATTTTTTTTTCGGAATTAGAAAATATTTTCATAACTGCTCAAATAAAAGTCTTAAAGTTGGACTATCTTGCTAGGTCAATACTTTAGTTCATCACTGTAATTGTATTATGAAATGATAGATCACTTCAAATATAAAAAAAAAAAACCACGCAAAAAGGTACCTGGTGGATTTATTTTTTTGGAATGCGACCTTCCTAAGCAGATGTTTCTTCGTTAAAGAACCAACGATTATCTAAAAAATCTACAGTAAAAATGTATTACCTGAATATAAATATTTAATAACTACATATTCAATATATTTTTTCCGATATTTTTTTTTGCAATCAAAATGTTTTGTATAGTTCAATTATAAATATATATATATTTTTTTGAGGGAAAAATTACATAGTGGATTTAAGGATTATTATGAAAATGATTATTATGGTTGCTAGCGGGGAAAAGGGAGGAATTCCAAATTCGTAAAATGGCTATATTTTGAAAAATTGTGAGCCGATTTCTTTGATATTCAGACCGAAGGACAGATAAAATACCTTTAGTTTGATATGCATATATGTAGATATATACTTAACATTTTTAAACAAAAAGAGGAAAATTTAATAAAAATGGTTTTTTCATAAAAAAATATTGTTTTCTTAAAAAAAGTGCTTTAAAAATTGATTAAATGAGTACAGGATAAAATTATCTTTCATTTGGTGTATTAATTGTTATAAGATACATATGTATGTATATCTGTTCATATTGTATTCCATTTAAATTGGCAATAAGAAAAGCACTTAAGAATGCAGTGCAAGGGGAAGCCGGTATTGATCCGGCCCAGTGTTATAAACTACAGCGCTGTCGAAGACCGCCAAATTACAAAGGAGTTTGATTCAACAATACAGGGCGAAGGGGGTAGAAAAACATATGTGCGCTTGTATGTATGTATCATTTAAATGGTAGTTAAAGCTATACACGATATACATAAAATTAAAAGTAATTTTGTACTCCATTTGATTTAATTATTTTTAAATAGGATTATGAAAAATATTAGTTTTTTTATAAAAAAAATACTTTTTAAAATTTTTCCTGTTTTTGTATCAAAAGTACATATTTTAATAACTTATTCAGCGGGGGTTCAGTAATTTTCAAAATATACATACACATTTATAAAAATTCATGTTTGAACATGTTTGGCCATGAGTAAGCGAACGTGCATAAAGCAGAATTCATAAAATGTGTACGTACCCATATATATGTACATACATATACATATATATATGTGTGTATATAATTTTATAACTATTCAATTACATGTTTATATGTATACTGTATGTAAACATTTATTATCAAATTTAAATTACGTCCGTATGTATGTATAAACATAGTAAATATATTTTCTTGTAGTATTGTTGTAAGAGATCCAACATCTATGACGTTAGGGTCCTTATGCTCAAAATGCGCTGATTGATTGATTTAGCGGAGATAACGATATCGAAGTAATTGATCGATTTTCTTCCGCTAAAGAATCTACATCTGTATATTTTTTTGAGTAATTAAGTAAGTAAATTGTAATGAATATTTCATCTTTCAAGTAAATTTTCGTAAAATTCGTCGCACATTTGAAACGGAGCACACATGCCTCGCAACTTTCTCCTCCCTTCCTTGGTTACAGAATTTTCGACTGCATTCTTCTCCTCCTCCTCATGGAGTTTTGGCCGCGACTATTGATTCCATTTACCAATGATGCCATTATATGAAACTCTTTACCTCATGAGAGCACTCTAAAAATTAACATTTTTTATAAAATTTTCCAAAAACGACACTTCGATGAAAAAGTTTCCTTTTGGAGTATTTATTTTTTGTTTCTTCTTATTTCTATAGAATGGATGAAGCGGAAAGCGGGAACTTAGTTGAAATGCAAAATAAATCTGATTATTGTTGTAAGAATTATATTTAAGTGCCCAGACAAATTTGGAAACTCTATCTTCTTCATGTTCCTGCATCAATTTCAAAAATAATAAATCGGGGAAATTAAAACTCGGCAAATAAAGGTTTATTGGAATGCAAGTGTTAACTACGATAAGAAAAAAAATAAAATACGAATGCACAGTATTGATTTCCGACGTAATATACTTTGATATTTGATTATCGAAAGATGATATTATATTCATCTGGCTGCAGATTTGTCCTCCACTGCTATAACGTTCCATTAGCGTGCGAGAGAGCAAATCTTAAACTCGTTGTTTTTTTTTGAAGATCCAAATGTGTCAGGGCAACTGTGACCATTCAGACCGAATATTAACTCTAGAGAAGGCGCCCACTGCATAGTGACATGGATTAGCGCATAAGTATTTTTCCCCACGTATCGAAAATATTCGGTTATTTTTTTATAGTATATAAAGTGTTACATGTTTAAATTTGAAAAATGTTTATTTATTTAATTTTTAGGAGAAAGGTATTCAGCGTAACTAGTGGTTTTGTGTGAGGAAACTGTTCATAGCGCGCCTTCTCCACATCGCGCATCCTTCGGAACAGCTCAGGAATTCCAAAAATATTCAAGAATTGTTATTCGGAAAATATTGCGGCTGTGAGAGACTTTGGACTAAGTCTCCACCATTGCGGAATTGTTCAACAGGCATGCCTTATCACGGGTAAACTCTCGAAAAAATATTCCCAATGCAGCTTTTAGGGAATATTGCGGGAGTGAATGTTCTTCGGCGGATAAAAATCCGCGTCGTTTCAGTATATAGATCCGGCTGTTCCGAGAACTTTTGGATTTTGGTCGCCTCCTACGACAGGCATGCGAGAAAATTCTTGAACCCCTGCGCCTGATTGAATCGTAACAGGTACATATGATATCTCTCATTCTTCATTAGACCCAGTTTAAAGGAAGACGCTTTTTGTCGACGAAACACTCGTTTGTTGGGAGGGGGCGACGACGAAGTCGACAGCTACAGCGCACCGTGTAGCTGTGCTCGTTCGACACGTTTTGTGTTTCTATTCGCATACTCTTTTATTTTGTTTTTCTCTTTGAACTGATTGTAGCTAACTTAAATTTCAAAGGAATAAATGTTGTTAGTTTGGAAATTGAAATTTGATTTTTTATTAATTTTTCAGATAATGGAGTTTACAGATAAAGTTGAATTAATGCAAGAAATATTAGAATGGATTGAAGAAGTCGTTGGTATTGACGCTGATGACAGTGGAAAGGATGAGAAATGTAAAGATTTGTGATTAGGCTACACTTTCGAAAGGTTAGTGTTGATGTTTTATCGCATGTAAAATTATAAATGTATAAGAAATAGATGAATAAAAGCTGTGTCTTTCTTTACATTCACAAAGTTATTTTTTTATTTTTAATATACATATTGAAAAGAGCGAAGTGAACGAAAAATTGCGAGTTGAAAAGTGGACGACACGAAAAAAAAATTACGATAATAAGCCACAAAAGTATCCTCATGTAAACTCAGACTTATTGTTGATATTTATCAACAATTTCTCCTTGGGTTGCTATTCTTTAGCGCTGAGCAATTCTTGTTATCTAAACATACTCAAATATTTATAAGAAACGAATTCTTGGTATATATGTATGTGCTAAAATGGTGTTGAGCGCATTCAGCGGCAACTCTTAAAATACCTGAGTTAAATGCATCAAAGAGAAAATTACTCGCTAACACAAACGCTTCGTAACATCAGCTTATAGCTGAATAGTGAGGCTCTCCCGAAGAGCACAGCAGTAGAGTAGCTTCGCTGCTGCTTTAATGTTTATATGTGCATGTGTGTGAATGCCAACATATGAATTGTGTGTTTCTTGGTTATAACCTAACCACAGAGAGTTGTTTAGTTTAGTCTGTGAATTGTTGTTAACCGGTGCGGTTTAGAATTTACGTGGACGGCTTAAGTCAAACAAAGACAACTTGGAATGTTGAAATATTGACGATTTGTTTAAGAATTGAACTTGAAATTGCGACTATTTAAAACATATTTCGGCAAAATTCCGTTTGCATTCAGAAAGCTTATAATATAAGTTTAATAAAATGAATTTTCGGAGGTGTTTTCCATCCAATATACTGTTAGTGAACTTAACACTTATCATTACCGCTACACAATTCAATGACAACAACAGAAACCAAAAATAAAAAAAGTGTGCACAGTGAATTTTGTTTTTAATAGTGCTCGAAATCGCTGTAACTATCTAGTCGCGCAGCTCGTGGCTTCCATGCAAGTGTGTAAAGAAACAAAAAAAAAAACACACGAATAAGAACAGTGAACATAAATAAAGACATATTAAATCGAATTAAGTCGCATCCCAGTCCGAATTGTATCGCGTCGCGGCATCAAACAGCGTTAATAAACTCGATATGCAGCACATTTGATAGCCTCGATACGCCAGCAACGCAATACAGCTATCTTGGCTGTTCACCACTTAAATTCTAAAGTATTCAATTGGATTAAGTTGACCTTCAGAGCTAATTGTAACAGTAGAGCGAATATCACAAAGCGCGCGGCATCACGCTTTGAATTCAGCTCTCTACTTTGTTACTTCCCGACGTACGTTTCGCTTTATTTCAACACAGCAACGCTTCCAGCTTTTAGCAATATGGCCACAAATACAGAGCTTCTGCCTTTCCAAAATAATTCAACAATTTCTCTACAAACTGCTGCTGCACTTACCAGCTACCATGGAGGTGGTAGTGGAGGTGGCGGTGGCGGCGGTAGTGGTAGTGGTAGTGGCAGCGGTGGAATCAACTGCACTGCCACATCTTCGGCGCTACCTAACTCTACACAGTTAGCCGCTTGGAGTATGGAGGATTGCCTCTATCAACAAACTGAACTTCCTGCCCTTACACAGCGCGCACATCATCTGCTACGCTTTACACCATACGCATTGCACCATCGACCACAACTGCAGACATTACCACCCGCGTTGTACCTACAGCATGCTGCGGCTGCTGCAGCCGCTGTGGCCGCACATGCGCAGCATCATCATCATCATCACTTGCAACAGCGACCGGCAACGCCGGAAAGTCCGGCACCTCATGATGGTACACACATTAATAATCTCTTTCCGGAAATACTTGAAATGATCTTCCAAAAATTAGCTGTGCGCGATTTGGGTCGCGCAGCTCAGGTATGTACCACCTGGCGTGATATTGCATATACGAAAAGTGTTTGGAGAGGTATTGAAGCTAAGTTGCATCTAAAGCGGTCCAGTTCTAGTCTTTTCAATTCGCTGGTACGTCGTGGTATAAAGAAGGTTCAAATTCTTTCGCTGCGTCGTTCGCTGAAGGATCTTGTTCTTGGCGTACCACTGCTAGTCTCGCTAAATTTGAGCGGTTGCTATAATGTGGCCGATATGAATTTGGGTCATGCGTTCTCTGTGGATTTACCGAACCTCAAAACACTGGATCTATCACTATGCAAACAAATCACAGACTCCAGTTTAGGGCGTATAGCACAACATATTAGAAACTTGGAAACATTAGAACTTGGCGGTTGCAGCCAAATTACAAATACCGGTCTCTTACTCATAGCGTGGGGTCTTCGGAAATTGAAATATTTGAATTTACGTTCCTGTTGGCAAATCACCGATCAAGGTATCGGTCATTTGTCTGGCCTGACTAAAGACACTCCAGAAGGCAATACTGATTTAGAATTTCTCGGTCTTCAGGACTGTCAACGACTCAGCGATGAAGCGCTCGGTTATATAGCACAAGGTTTAACGTCACTAAAGTCAATCAACCTGAGCTTCTGCGTTTCCGTCACTGACAGCGGCCTTAAGCACTTGGCGCGTATGCCGAAACTAGAGCAAGTTAATTTACGTTCCTGCGACAACATTTCCGATATCGGCATGGCATATCTCACCGATGGCGGCTGTGGTATTATATCATTGGATGTCAGCTTTTGCGATAAGATAAGCGATCAAGCACTTACACACATCGCACAGGGTCTATATCGTCTGCGCTCGCTCAGCTTAAATCAGTGCCAAATAACAGATCAGGGTATGTTGAGGATCGCCAAAAATCTACAGGAACTAGAAACCCTAAACATCGGACAGTGTAGCAGAATAACGGATAAGGGTATAGAAACCATTGCGCAAGATCTCATCAACCTAAAGACTATCGATTTATACGGTTGCACACAATTATCACCAACCGGTATTGATATGATTTTGAAATTACCAAAATTAGTAAAATTGAATCTTGGACTTTGGCTTTTAAGATGATGCGTTCTACGTAGTATAAAGAGTGTATGTGGAAACTTGTTTTCAGTGCGACTATGCAAAATTGTGTGTGTTTTAATCGTAAAAGTGGGGGAGCAAAGCCTCGATTTCGAAAATCCAAATGCAAAAAGGTGCAAAAAAGGTAGATTAAGGAAGAAAAACTGAAGGTATTTGCTATTCAAGTTCGATCTTACTGCAAGACAACACTAATCAATGCAACAACGAAAGCCAATTTTAGCCGTGACAAATCTTCTGCTACATCCCACAAACTAACTGCTCTACAGAGCATACATACATAAAACCAGCGACTGCATATCTGAGACCATGAACCCTCGAGTCTTATGCAAGCTTAAGTGGCAACCCATAATTTTACAAATGCACTTATATATAAATGTATAAATATATGTGCATAGATATGTGTGTGCACAGGCGCATACCAACCCGCGCAGTTAGCCATGGGTGCAGAAAGAAAAACAAGAATATGGCCGACATTGGATAAATAAGCGCGCACGAGGTCTAACGGACCGAAAGCAAAGAAGACATGGATACATTTCAACAAGGGTGCATAACGTTGGAAAAGAATTCCTAAATAAAAAATTTAAAATTTATTTTTTTTTTATCAAAACCGTCGAACCAAGTTTAAATCGGAGGCAGCATTAACAACAACAACAACAGCTCGAGGCAACATATTCATGACTTTCGTTTCGCATAAACACGCCGTGTACTAAATTTAAAACAGCAATGAAGAACCCAATCAAAATCGCGAGTAGAAAAAAGAACTGAAATAAAATAAAACAGAATCAAATTTAAATGAAACGAAACAACAAAGACCAAAACAAGGCTACGCCACCAACAAGAACGGCAACAACAGCAATTAACTTGAACGCAGAGCCAACAGACACGCAATGCAGTGCAGGCGAACAGACAGATAGCACCACCGACTGACTGGTATTGGCATGGACAACAGACCAGCCGGACGAGCAAAACACACATGCCCACATGGCAGCAAACGTAGGGTAAATAGACGTACATATGTGTGTAAAGTGCATGAAGGCATTTTGGTAAAATATACACTCAGACATAACTATGCATCTATATAGATACACAGGCGAGGCTTCATGGCTACTGTTAAAGCCTGCATGCATGGCTGCGCCGTTGTTTGTGAACAGTGGCCCGGAAGGCTTAGTTGACATGGCAGTTCACTAACTAACATGGTTTGGCATGGCTGGGATGGATGGCTAGCCACTAGTATTAGCTTGCGATAGCGGATGACCGCCTTGAATTCTGTTACTTTGCATAAGTGTCTTATACGCTCGTATGTATGTTTGCATGCTCATTTTTGGCGTTCACACCGTAGACAAAGGATGACGACGCGGTGTAGAGCTTAGAGCTTATGATATGGCGGACGTAGAAGCTGGAGTTAAGGTATGAGTATGCTCTTAAGACCACCAAAACCGACTTTCAAGCGAAACAATCTGAGTAGAGATAATTAATACATTAAGCACGCAGAAGTAAAATATTTAAAATATTCCGATACCAACAACCATCCTTCTATTAAAAGGCATCGAAAGGGTGCATGACGTGATGATAGTAGCAGTACAGCAGTGAGGAAGACGGCGTTAGAAGCAGTAATAAAAAATCGTCAACGAAACACCTAGGCGCACATCAATGGTTGGGGAGCAAACAAAAGCAGTCACAGTAACTTTAACTACTCTAGAAGAAGCAGCGTCGGAGGTTTTCACAGTACCAAGCTTAAATAAGAACAAAAATTACAAAAAACAATGGCAAAAGTAAATGCACAAGCTACCCTCACTTTAGACTATCTGTTTTATACTAAATAAGAGAAAAAATGTATTGTATTAGATAATGAAAAGAAACATACACACAAATATGAACACCTGTAAAGCTTAAACAAGTACACAGCTAAACAAAAAACAAAAAAAAAAGAAATAGCCATGCCTACGTATGTATATGTATATGTGTATGTATTTATGTATACTGAAAAACTCGCACAACAACAAAAAAAGCAGAAGAATAACTAAGCAAACAGAAAACACTCCTATCTACATACATATGTATAATAGCAAAAAGTGCATAAGTCAAAATAAAAATAAAAAGAAATAGAAAAAATTAATACTAAAAATTATAAAACAAGCAACGGTGTTACGCGCCTCAATGTGCGCCTTACCACAATTTTTGTTGTGTAACAAATAGAAAATACAGTCAAAACCGGTTAATCGCAATACAACTTTTATGGCATTTCAAAAACGGACTTTTATTGAATGTTCAAAACTTAGTTATCCAAATTGATCAAATCTCAACACATTTCGATTAAATAGTTTTCACTTTTCCAACTGATAAAAGCTGACGTAGCAATGAAAATTTTATGAAATATAATACGGAAATTTTGCGTAATATTTGATTTTCAATATTAACTTAATGGAGTATATTTCTGAATCCCACGTAGTTTCGATTTTCGTGCGTGTAATGAAAACGTGTGATTCTTGTATCCAACTTGGTGGCTACAGTGTAAAATCGAAAGAAATGCTAACAGTAGGCTAACTCTAACGCAGAAATGATCAACAAACGCAACGATATCATTCCGTTTCGCTGGCAACAAAAAATTTACTCAACGAAACGAAATGAAATCGTTTCGTGTCGGCGCCATGTCATCAAAACGAAATTAAATCGTTAACGTTGAAACCATAGAAACGCATCGTTAACGTTAATTTTACAATGGTTGCTTGCTGTGACATAACAGCACACTTCAATTTTAACGTTTAATATTATCTGTTAATGATTTAACATTAACGACAGCTTTTCGTTTCCGATAAAAACGAAAAAGAAAATGTATATTGATAACGTTAATATATCCATATGTTTCAACCGAAACAATAGAATTTCTTCGATAAATGATAAGTTTATCGTTATGATGCAGCCATGATCGAACGTTATTTAGCCAAAATTTTCTTTAATTTTTTTTTAATTTGATTTGAAAAATACTACACATATGGGTAAAACAAATATTTTCTAAATAAGTAGGCAGTACTTGTATTCAAAACTCATACATACGCAAATATTTACATACACTCACGTACAGTAGAACAAAATAATATGTATTTGATATGTATTTGGGAAGAGATATAACATTTCATCACCTTACAAATAATAAAAACTCAATTAGGTTTCTTTTAAGATATTTTTTTTATAATTCTAACAAAAAGATTAATACGTAAACTAGCACCTCCTAAGTTTAACAAATATTTCTCTACCAAACTTTGCGGTATGATTTCTCTTCCACGAGTTATTAAGGAAGATGAAGACGTTAAGGTGGCGACTACAGAAAACTCAAAATAAACAATTAAATAATAATTAATAATTTGAACTTAAAGAAAAGTAAAAAAATAACTAAATTAAGCTCAATACCACCAAAAGAGATTAAAAAAGAATAAAATAGATTCCAATCAAATGTAACGTAACAAAAATAAATACATAACACAGAAAACAAATAAAAACTATATAAAATTAAATAGAATAAAATAATATAAACTGAAAGGTAAAGCAAAATAAAAATAAAGGAAATTTAATTTATTAAAGAAATACAAAATAAAATAATACATGAAAAAATATATATATTTAAAATAAAATATAAATGAAATAAAATATATTATAATATAATGAAATATAATAAAATAAAATATAAATAAAATAAAATAAAATAAAACATAACTAAAATGAAATATAAATAAATAATTAAATTTTAATTCAATAAAAAAAAGTGAAAAATAATAAATGCAATATAAAAATAATAATAAATAAAATATTAAATATATAGATATATTATATATAAAATAAACATATATATATTATAAAATATATAAAAAAAAATTTAACATATAAAAATATATAATATATAAAAAATAAAATATATGAAAAAATAAAATTTATAAAAAAAAAATTATAAATAAAATAAAAATAAAATATAAATATTGAAATGCTTAGACATAATATGAATAAAATAAAATGAATATAAATAAAATAAAATATAAATTAAATGAAATAAAATATAAATTAAATGAAGTAAAATATAAATTAAATGAAGTAAAATATAAATAAAATAAACTGAAATAAAATAAAATATAAATAAAACGAAATAAATTATAAGAAAATATAAATAAAAAAATAAAATGAATAATAAACAAAATAAAATTACTTAAAAAACAATAAATAAAATTAATTTCAAAAAATTTTATGTAATAATAAAATGAAATAACTTTGAAGTCGTAGATAACTTCGTCTATCTTAAAATCTTTGGTAACACCAACAACAATATCGAGCGCCAAAACACTTTTGCCAGCAGGCGCTACTTCAGACTGAGTAGGCAATTGAAAAGTAAACGCTATATCATGATTCTAAAGCCATTGAACAAAATAAAATCATTTTCGATACGTATATTTACTGTAATACTGTAAAAAAATACAATTATTTTTTCCACCAAAGTAATCAGAATCAAACACAAACCGTAAATCGAAACTACAAAGGACGTCTTCACACATTAAACGTATTTGCTACTGTAAGAAAAAAAAAACTACTTAAAAATGTATGAAATTACATAAACAAACATAATGCAAGCTATATAAACACAAAGTCAAGCCCAAAAAGGATTGAAATAAGCATCTATTGAACTTTATCAATTAAGTCAAAAACAGTTTATTGAGAAACATTTAAAATCTATAAGAGAGAACACAAATTCTTTTCTATTGTGATATAAAAATTTATAACAGTTAATTTAAATAATTAGTTTTATTAAGTAAAGTGTAATATGTACGAATATGTAGCAAATCAAGACAAGATTAGTAATAAAACTAAACAAAAAATATGTTTAACTCCAAAGTTTAGAAAAGTATCTGAACTAAAAATCTATTTTGTGTCTAAACATATTTAAAAAAAGAAAAATGTTTAACTATTTTAAAACTTTAAATTAAATCATTGAACCACAAACAAAAGAAATTTTGGCTTCTTATAATTAAATTTGGATTGAAATTATATTTTTGAGCAAAGAAAATTGATGGAATAACACTTTTGCCTTATTTTTTTTAATTAAATACATTTTTGTCATTAATATACTTATTTATATATATTATTTTAAGTATATATATATATATATGTATTTCTCTAGCTGTTCTTCTGTTATCTTGTTTGTTTTATTCAAATGGATTGTCCGAATACACTATATTATAAGGTGTCTACTGATCTATTCATAATTTGTTTAGTTAACCGTTATAGTCTACGTTCAAACATATGTACAAGTATATGTAAGTACATATATTTAAGTTTATATAAGTAGTTTTGTTATAGCATAAAATTGTAAGCAGAAACTAGAAGATAATGAAATTATTACGCCTATCCAGCATTGTAATATTGGTATACTAAGGGCGTGGATGCAGGTTGGCCGATCTTCGGCGATTTGAAATACTAAATAATAAAAATAAAACTAAAATAATTAAATCGCATAAAAAATACAACCAAATTACAAATTAAAACAAAAACTGCAATTTCTTTTCATTTATTCTGCAAACATACATACATACAAGTGGGCTGGCAGGTAAGCATTTACTCTTCCCCCGATATTGATAATAATGGAAATGATCAGGGCCATATTTAGAAGGATTTTAAAAAAACAAACTGCCCTGGAAGTTCTGTTGTTTAACACTCTCAATGCAGTCCTTTCGGCGATGTAACAACTGAAAACATTTTTCCGGAATTTCATTTCGTACTAACCTTAACAATAAAGGGTTTTCCTATAAGAGGTGTTATTTTGATATTCAAAGAAATATTTCTCATTAAAGATCGATCGATTCGTTACTTGTGTGACATGTAGCATCTAATTCCGGCCTTAAAAAATCACTAATCATCTCTCCATAGCGCAATTCATTCACCGTAACTGTTGCTCCAGCTTCATATTCAAAAACGTAAGGTCCAATAACCCCACCGGGCCATAAAATATACCAAATATTTACGCGTTGAGGATGGAGTGGCTTTTCAACAATAAATTTTGGGGTTTTCGAGCCCCAGGTGCGACAGTTTTGCTAATTGACATAGCCATCGAGGTGGAAATGGGACTCATCAGTTCATCACTCGAGATGATTTTTCGATTAGGTTTTATAGTGAAGTTGAAAAAATTCAAAGCATCGTTGAAACGTGTATCGTTCCACTTATATTACCGGTTTTTACTTGCCAAAAGTAAAAAAAATTATAGCTTCAAACCCTTTATACTTTAACTAAAATTCGTTGAAATTAATAACAGTGACATTTTTCTTTTCCACTTGCGAAGGATCAATAGCATAGGTCTGGTCATGTGTTTTCCCGTAAATGAGCGGGCAACGATTTGAGGACATTGGGAAAGTACCGCTGTTTAGGTATTTGATATCGTCCTGGATTTTTCCCTTGATATTCTGGTGACTGTAGTCTCATGTAATATTGTTTACTCCGGTGGACTGCAGTCTACGATGTTCTGATAGATCGGGTGTGTTGAAATAGTGTCCAGTTTGCTGGTGAGTTTTCACTCAATCACTGTGAGTACTTTTCCCTCGTTACACATGATGAGAAAAGTTATGCTCGAGCCAACGTCCAAAAATTATAGAAAATTTATTTAAATAAAAAAAAAGCAAGTTAATTTCTCTAATGGCGATCGTTCCTCCGTGTGTATTCCTGATACAAAATAAGGACTCCTCACAAAAACCATCAGCCGTTCCAAGATGGCTTAATATAAACTGCAGGTCCGTCCCTCCATTTGTTGAAAAAAATCAAAATGCGCATGACGCACCAATCGCCAAATGATTTATGGATTATTTTTTAGTTCACTATGGATCTTTTGATATTCCCTGTCGAGAGACGACACTGGTTGACGTCAATTGGATATACCAGTCCTACAAGTCCTTCTCCTACTGATATTTCCAGCTAAATGAAGGTCTTTCTCTACCTCTACTTGCATCGGCGGGTACTGTATCGAATGAGCGATATGATTGTGATTTTTCAGATCTGGACACAGCAACGTAGCTTGGCGAATTTTCTTGCGCTTGCGAATCTAGTACTACCGACAACTATATTTCGGACCCCGGTGAAGTAGATCAGTCTCATTGGGATGATCATTGATGTTGAGAATGTTTCGACGTGCCAAAGACAGGTCTGCCGAAGATATCTTCTTAGCCCTTTCTGTTGTTAAAGTCGCAGAAAGCACAATTTCGACATCGTAGTAGAGGCAGAGC